TGGAATGCGAGGCGAGTGGCGCCGCCCCGTTCCCGCTCTGGAGATAGCGCCAGGTGCGCCGAGTCGCACCGAGTCCGCTGCGAGTTTGGCGCGCCTCGCGTTCATGCTCGCACCGGCGGCGCTAATCCGGGCCGCAGTGCTCCGGGGACGTGTTGCACATCGGAATGTGCGCGATCGCGCTGCTGCAGGTCCTTGTCGTCCGGCTCGAGGGGCGTCCCACCCCGCGGGGAGAGGTGCTTGGCTGGGCGTGTGGCGCGGTGCATGGGACGCGACGCGCCCGAAGCCGCCCCACCGGCCCCACCCCGCCATTCCCCACACCGGCGCCGCCTCCACCGGCCGGCCCTACCTGCGCCCCGACGGCCCCGACGGCCTCGACGGGCACGTGCAGGCCGGGGCCGGCCAGTCCCGGCCCCCGGGGCACGTGGTGGCCGTAACCATCGCTTTACTGCTCTTCGGCTGTCATCAATCGGCGCATCAGAGTTGGCCGGGCCGTCCAGGGGCAGCCCCAGGCTCCGTGGGGAACGCCCAAGGCCGCAGGGGCGAGAGGGCAGGGGCCGTCCGAGAGGCAGGGGGCGTACATCTCCGGGTACGGTAGGGGTGTTCGGGTCCACGGGGCGCAGAACGCAGGTAAAAACAGGCCATCACTGCCGGGCATGCGCGGCGCCACGCCGGGCGAGCTCGACGGGCGGGTGGGCGACGGATGGGTGACTGGTGGGCGACGATAGGGAAGGCGTCCAGGGCGGTGGGCAGCAAGCGGGCGGTAGGCCGTGTCAAACTTGGGACGCTGTGGGGACGGGGTTCGGCCTGCGCCTCCGGAGTCTGGCATACTTTCGCCAACTTGGCGGCGTGCGTGGGATTAGCACAAGGACCGGGCGAGCGCGCGGCGCAGCCACGGCGTAGCCCGAAAGAAGTTTCGGCACGTTTTATACACTGGCCACACACTTGTTGAGGTGCCCGTCAGCCAAGTTGGAGACCCCCCGGCCGGATACGATCGGCCCACCGGCCGACTCTCCAGAGACCGGTCGCGTCCGCGTCCTTCAGCCGGGCTCCGTGGGGGCTGTCAAGATGGCGGCCGGGTCCGTGAGGGGCGGCGCGCGGCGCAGCGCCGTCGTGCAGACATCGGGCAGCCGCTCGGCGAGGTGGTCCCGGACAGAGCCTTGGGGCCGATGCTAGGCAGCCCACTCCACTGCCTGCCCCGTCCCGCCGAGGGGGAGCCAAACTGGAGCACGGCCCAGGCGGCGGCGGGCGGCGCAGCGGCGCACAAGGGAAAGTATATGGGGGCTAAGACAGCGTGAAACCCGTGAAACCAGAAAGCAGCAGTGCTTGCGCCGCTTGTGCCGCTCGCGGTGGCGCCCACAAAGGGTGCGGAAGCGAGGGCCGACCCGGGGAAGGCCGATGTAACTCTCAAAAGAGGAGGACAAAGACAGTGCGATGCGCTGCCGGCCGGGGCGGGGCGGGGCGGGCCTGCGCCACACGCGGGGCGCAGGGGCAAGGGGCCCAGTGGCCCACAGGCCAGCGGAAAGTAGTTGCTGGGAGTGCCACCAGGTGGCGCGGCCAGAGCCAACACGGTCCGTTTAAATTGCGCGACCAAACTCGGCCCCACACTTTGGGGCGGCTCCCTGCCCTCCGAGTGGGCCTACGGACAACGCATGCTCTCCCAGCGGCTCTGCACAGTACAGTGAGCGTGCCGGTTGTACGACGGGATGGCGCCGAGAACCTCCCGGCGGATTTTGCCAAGTTGGTTCTGCTACTTGTCGCCGAACTTTTTAAAGAAGGCAGAACAGTCGGAATCAAACCCAGTTTGTTTTCAATGTGGTCACTGGTGTCGTACGCCCTCCCAGGGGTATCAGGAACCGTGATGAGGTGCGGGGAAGTGTTGGAGGGGAGGGTTTGGAGAGTCTGGAGGGGATGGTTGGGCTAGCGGCTCCATAACCCTAACAAGACAGCTGGCTGCCCCGCGGCGTGCAGTCCGGCGGACCCCGCGCACAGCCCCACCTGGCCTGCTGCTGCTCGCACTTCCTGGTGAAAATGATTAACAGCGATAACTTAAAGTTTGCTCGTCATGCCACCGCTAAAGTTTCCACTATGATGTAGCCTCTGGATGTTCTTGTAAAACATTAAGTCGTCACATCGACGCCAGAACTTTGGCGGCAAGGGACCCCCAACTTTTACACAGCCTAGTCAAGGGCCGCATCGAAACAGTCTTGTTTACCGAGCAAATATTTGTCTCGGGGTCGCGCGGAGGTCGATTAGTTGTGGGGTCTCGGAGACGCGGCTGGGCTAGAAAGAGATGGCTATGGAGGAGCGCGCCTGTGCGAGCGAGAGGTCCACGCGTCGCCTGCGCCCCGAGACCAGGGGCAACTTGACGGGTCCCCGCAGTGGGCATGTGTCCAGAGACGCCCTCAGGTACCGCGTCGGTTCGCGACGCTAGCGCCAGCCCCGCGCTGCTGACGGAGACACACATCGCCCTGGCCAAGCCTCCGGCCGACCCGCTGGCGTCCCCGGCGATCTTCCAGTGCTCCATCGCCCGGAAGTGGTCGGGCCGCGATAAGGTCGTCGCCATGGCAACCCGGAGCCGCGGAGACGCGGAAAAACGAGCCGGCCAGAGCACGGCTAGCACGGCGCTGCAGCGACACGACGAGGACCGTCGCGGCGGAGCGCGGGGTGGAGCGCGGGGTGGAGCGCGGGGTGGAGCGCGGGCCGGAGCGCGGGCCGGACAATGGAGGCATTAATCTGGCGGCAGAGACTGATTCGGGACGGCGTCCTGCCCCCGCGACAGCGCCCCGCGACACCGCAAGACGGCCAGCCCGGAGCCAGCCCGGAGCCAGCCAGCCCGCAGCAAGCGCCCTCAATTAAAACGTCAAGGAGCAGCGATTAATCGTTGCAGCGCGCCGCGCGACTCGGAGCCGCGGCCGCCCCCTAAAAGTCAATCCGGCGGCACAGCGGCACGGCGAAGCTGGCACCGCCGACCTGCCGAATCCGCGCAATCGCACCGCCTTGTCAATTACTCGACGCGGCTGCGGTCCGGTGGTGTCCAGTGGTGTCCAGTGGTATCGCTCCGTCTCCCTCGCACTCTCGGGACGTCCCGTCGGATGAGTGAGACACACACGCGCTGTTCTGAAGCAGCCTGCCGCTGGCCGGCCGTGGAACTGACAGCGCCGCGCCGCCGCGCCGCCAGGCTTTGCGTGGTGGGGTAAAAAGGACGTCCACGGCGGCGCGGCGCGATGCGTGGTGCGACGCCGCACCCACCGACAGCGGCAGCGCGATACGCCAGACCTTTTCGTTTCGCGTTGTTCCATCCTTATTCTTTTTCGCTCGGTTTATTGCCGATCTGAATGTATCCGCCGTGCATCGGCTGCTTGTGGCGCTGTATTTATGGGCCCGGCGGGACGCGCCGGTGGGGTGGGGTGCGCGGTGGAGGCCAGCCTGTATGGCACACTGTGTGCCGGCCTGCACCGTTCGTCTCCGTGTAAGAGCGTTGCGACGCTCTGTCTCTCTCGCACCCTTCCAGAGTGCCCAATGAGTGCGACGGACGTCGGCAGAATCGTCGTGCGTCTGTCTGGCCAACGTGGGCGCGTCTTACTTACGACGCCACGCCACTGGCACGTTTATTTAGGCGGGTTGTGGGCACACTGGCAGCGTTCGCCACAACAACATCGCGCGACAACGCCATCGCGTGGCGCGGCCGACGCGGCCGACGCACGCAACGCAAACAAATCACTGGCTTGCTTTTGCTTCCCTGTCAGTAATGTCACCTTCCGGCCGCAATGGCTACCTTTCGGCACCATTCAGATACGGAAAAGTAGTTGCCTAAATTGAAAGGGGGGAAACAGGAAAAGTGAACAAAGCCACTTTTAAAAACGACAAAATGGAAGTGAAAAATACAGTTTTTAGAAGAAAAAAAAAACAGATGAAAAAGTGTTTTTCATTTCAACCTACACCTATGCATAAACAACGTGAAAAAAATTGTATTCGCCGTGATGACGACCTTAAGTTTTTTGGCGAGCACGTTGTTCACGCCGCGTTGAGCCAAGCCAAGCAGGACTTGCGAGACAAGGCGGCGACAAGCTTTTGTCCTGGCCGCGTCCTTAAAAGGAAAATAAGGGCGCGGCTTCCGCAGGCTTCCGCAGCGAGAGAGAGGAAACTTTGGCGGTAAGGAGGCAATTTAGCCAGTCAAGGAAGTTGCATCCTCCGCTGTAACGGATTCGCAATGCACGCAAGAAGCAGCGGGACACAAAAAAAAAACGGCCCCGCCAACAACAACAAGTCCAAACAACTGCAAACAGGACTGCAGAGGGAAGGAGGTCGCGCCGAGGCGCTGGCCCTGCGATTGCAGCATGGCGGGCAGGGCCATGCCCAGGCCATGCCCAGGCCATGCCCAGGCCATGCCAGCTTGTACCGCTGAATGTTTAATGGTTTGTCTTGTTTCGCATTATTATCTGCCGGTGCGGTGTCGCAGCGCAAGCCGTGGCGCGGCGTGCCGCGGCGTGCCGCGCCGTGCCGCGCCGTGCCGCGCTATGGCCCGGGACAGCCTCTGATATCTCCCTTTTCCTTCATTACTTCCTGCCTCGCGGATTTAATGAGACTTCGGCCCGGAGGCGCTTCCCTGGCCACGGCCTGGCCACGGCCTTGGGGCCGGGCGCGGCCAGGAGAGGCGGCGCGAGGCGAGGCCCAGCCAGCCTCCTCTTCTCCGATGAATAAATGCATCGCCCGTTATGTCACAATGGCGCCGTGTCGACTGGCATCGAGTCTCATTACGGCGGGCCGCTTTGAGGGGCCAGCCGCGCAACCCGAGCAAGCCGACCAGGCGGACTGACTCGCCCATCAATTTGCAGGCCGCTGTTTGTGTGGTGCCGACTCACTGGCACTCGAGAGTCAACCGCCCGGTGCAGTTCGTTAGTGGGGCAGCGGGGCGTTTTTCCTCGTGGCCCACAAAACAAATCATAGTCTTTCCAACGGGAGGGAGGCTTCGTTTGGGAGGCCTAACTTGACTGGCTTACCTTGAGGTTGCATTTCCGGCGATGCCGCTTGCGGCCCCGCCGCGCGCCGCAGAAGCAGCACGAGCACACGACGGCGACGAGCAGCGCGACGACGGCCGAGACGCCGCCGGTGGCCAGGCCCGCCCACAGCAGCCAGGACTCGGCCTTGGACAGCGTGGTGGCCGTCACCACCACGGGCAGCGTGAGCGTGGCGCGCGCCGCGTCCTTGCCGCGCAGGTTGCGCGCCTGGCAGCCGTACTCGCCGGCCTCCGTGTCGGACACGTTGTACACCGAGATGTTGCTCCACTTCTCCAGCAGGCCCTGCCCGTCCTCCTGGTCCACGGAGTAGATGGTGTCGGCGCCGAAGGCCGACCCGTTGCCGCCGACCGGCCGCCCGTTGAAGTACCACGTGACTTCCGGCTCCGGGTCGCCCGTCACGCGGCAGTGGAAGGTGACGTTGCCGCCGGCCTCCTGCTGGATCATCTTGTCGGTGAGCACGACGTGCGCGCCGCACGCGAAGTCCGCGGCCGCCACCTCCTCCCAGGGCTTGCCGGCCAGCGGCTCGGGCTCCTCGCAGACCAGCGGCAGGGAGTACAGCTTGCTGGCCAGCAGCCACTGCCGGAAGGAGCGCAGGTGGCAGTCGCAGCCCCAGGGGTTGCCGTCCAGCGCCAAGGTCTTCATCTTGGTCAGCGGCGCGAACACACGCTCCGACAGGTGGCGCAGGCGGTTGCCCTTGAGGTTGACGGACTCGAGCGTGGTCAGGTGCACCAGCGCCTCCTCGTCGATGTGCTCCAGGCGGCAGTGGCCGAAGTCCAGCGTGCGCAGGTGCGGCAGCGGCGGGAACTGGTAGCTGCGCAGCTCACTCAGCGGGTTGCCGCTCAGGCACACCACGCGCAGACGCTCGTTGCCGGCGAACGTGTCCTGGTGCAGTGAGGCGATGTCGTTGTCCGACAGGTCCACCTCGATCAGGATGCGCAGGTCCTTGAAGGCGTCGCGGTGCACCTCGCGCAGCCCCGAGCTCTTGACGAAGATGCGCTGCAGGTTGAGCAGCCCCACGGCGGCGAAGGCGGAGGCCGGCAGGTTGGGGATCTTGTTGCCCGTCAGGTCCAGCACCTGCCGACAAATAGACAAGGCGAGTCAAGCGGCTGTGCCGTGCTGCTGGGACTGCGGGCGGTCGAGAGAAGGCGTAGGTGGGTCGCGGTGCGCCAAGGCGGGCCAAGGTCCCGCACGCGCATCGGCCTCGGCGGCAATTTAATAACCCGGCCGTTGTTCTGCTCGCGGTCAACAGCTGCTCAACCGGGCGGCCTGCGTGCTCGGCGCGCTGCCGGGGCCTCGCAGCGATCGCCGGATAACGCGGCCCTAAATCACTCCGGGACGATGGCGCGGCTGGAAAAATGTTTGTTTCCATTGCCGCGGCCATCGATTAGCCCACTGGGGTGGGGCGGGGCGGGGCGGGGCGGGGCGGGGCGGGGCGCCTTCTCCCCCTCGAGCCCGGACCCATCATTACCTCCGCGGGCCGCGCGGTAAAAACTTATCATTTCCGCGACAATTCATCCGAGTGAACGGCGCACCGGACGGGGCGGGGCGGGGCGGGGTGGGGCAGGTGCGGCGGCCCGGCGCGGTGCTCTCCGTCATTAATTTGCCTTCCGCCTCATTTAGGTCCCGGGGAGGGGACGAGGTGGGCAAGCAGGCCTCATCGCGCTAAGGAGGCTGCGAGGTCGGCACGCCGCCATGCAGCCAATGAAATGCGGGCCGCCGAGTCGAAGGCCCGCCGCTCCCCGGCTGACCGACCGCGCCGCCGGAGGCAAATGGAGTGTCATTGATGCGGTCCAAGGAAAAACAGCAACAGTCCGTGCCATTAACTCGGATTCACGGGGCCGGATTCGTCCGTCGGACTCGCGACCCAAATTAAAGGCAATTAGCGTCGGGCAGGGTCTTGTTTGATGGGAATCGGAAAAGAAAAAGCGGTGCGAAAATGGCGCCTGGCTTGTAGTGGGCGTCGTCGGCACGGTCCGCAGGGCCGGTCGGTGGGGCTTCTCAGCCGCCAGACGGCCCGGCCGGTCAACTCGGACAAATGAGCGGCCGTTGGGCCGAGCGAGTCAAGCGACTGGATGGCCCGGAACAGGACAAGCCCGACCGCCGCGCCGACCGGGCCCCGGGCTGCCCCGGGCTGCCCCGCGCTGGGCGTACCTGTTGTACTAGGCACGACTTTGGCGGCGTGCTATCTTAGGCCGGGGTGGCAGCGCGCTGCAGCGGTGCGGTGGCCTGGTCGGGCTGGGTCGGGTCTCGGCCGTTATCAAAGTTTGGGTCCGGACTGGGATGGGATGGGCTGCGCGCTGGCGGCGCTTATTTCGAAACACGACACGAGGACAGCGGCATTGTAAAAACTGCGAAGAGCATTAGGGGCCGTGCCAAACAAGCGGAGATCGCATCGCATCTAAACGGCCCTAAATTGAGCCATGCCGCGAGGCCGGGGGCCGGGGCCTGGCTGCTGTGGTTACAGTGTGGTTACAGCTGCACACCGCCGCCGACCCGGCCTGTGCCACACCGGGGCACTCAGGCACGGGGATGATCCGCAAGGAAGCCAGCAGGGAGCTGAGTGCAGCTTCCGCCAATCCGGAGCCGCTATCCACGCTGGCCAGCCATGGGGCAGAGCGACAACGCGTACGCAATGGCATCCTTTCGCCTCCATTCTCACGCTCCGTACACACTCCGACAACAGGTAACTTCCTCGACCACTTTTTGTCTGAGCGATAGCGAAGCCCTTGCCGCGTTTGTGCTGGATCCGGGACAAGTTTCCCCTTAGGAGGCCCACAGCATTCCAGCCAAACAGCCACAAAAACACCATCTTCGCATGTTACAAAAAATCTCATTCAACGAACGTTAATGAAAGCAGATGATACTCGTTTTGTTTTCTTCTACGGGTTAGGATGGGCTCATTCCAAAGATAGTATTGAAAAACTGAATCTTTTGTGCCGTGGCCTGCACCGCCGCGCCGTGCCCGTTGGATTGCGAGCACCCGGTGCACCCGGTGCCTCTGTGCTGTAGCGGGGAGGGATTGTCACTGCTGCGCGCAGGCCGTCGCGCGCGAGGGGGGTGCCATTGTCGAATTCCGCGCAGGCTGCGCCTCACCGCCAGACACACCAGCCCGCCCCGGCAGCCAGCCCCTATTATATTGTTAGGATACGCGCTTGGTTTCTGGACTCGAAAGTAAAAGCACGCTGACACCTTCATGTGTATAGTAGTTTTAAGTGTGTTTCAAGTGTGAAGGTATCATCTGCTAAAAAGTCAATCGATTTCCGAAAGTTTCGATCCGCAACGCCGCCGCTCGTCACGCAAATTAGCCGTTCACGTGACACGGGATCCCGAAATGGGATTTATTTTCGTCAAGGCGGCGCTCCGTGGCGCAGGCAGCTGCTTCGGTTGACGCGCAAAGCGAGTGGGGAATGGCGTGGAGGGGGCGGAAAAGGGAGCGGAAGTGAAAAGTCGCCCATAAAGTGTTGGATAATTACCGGCGGCTAATAGAATGCACCCTTTTTTGCGACCGAGGGTAACCCCACCTGCCGGGCAGCCAGCCAGCCAGCCAGGCGGGAGCCCTCCGGCCAGGCTTGGTCGGTCGAGCGTCGCGCTTTCCATCGTTAACTTTTTCGTGCGGCACTAATAGTCCGGTAAGTTATGCATGCACACTGAAAAATGGAAGGTACCTCCATCGCCGGTCGACAGGGATGAGAATGGCGGGTACTGTACTGTAAACCATAACCGGGAGACGTATGGCTTTGGAAGAACAAAGAGTCACTCCGAAAATCCGTAAGACAAAATAGGTCCTTCCAGGGGGTGGAAACGGCGCTGATTTGGCGGGCCATGGCTGCGGCGATGCGTGCACGGCCGTTGTTTGTTGTTTTTTTGTGGTTCCTAGAAACCCACTTTCTAGCTAAAGTAGACATCTTATGCACAAATCCTGCACGTGTACTTCTAGAGTAATGTTGTCTCTTCGAAAAATAAGCCCGTTTGAAGATTTGAAACCCACAGGACGAGTCATGGACATGTTGTAACTTGTTTTAAATGGCTCATCCGCGTTCGGGCGCGGCGATTCTGGCCTGAAAACGCCGAAAAAAATGTAAACAAGTTACTGTGAATATCTCATTTTGTAAGTATCAATTCGGCCCAAGGAGCTTATTTGCTGATCCTTCACCTTACTCTTTAAGTACCGTTGAGGTTTGTCGTTAAGACGACTACTTCAGCTGGAAGTGGTTACCAACTAACCGGTAAAGTGGTGAAAACGGCAAAAACGGCCGTGCACGCATCGCCGCAGCCAAGGCCCGCCAAATCAGCCCCGTTTCCACCCCCTGGTCCTTCTAAATTTCGGTGAGGCCTCCTTGTCAAGCCAGAAGAACGGCCAACTTTCTACATCGACAAGACGTGCCACATTTTCACGGTGGAGATTAAAAATAAACAAGCTTTAAATTGAGTGAGACTCACCTGCATGTCCGGGTTGAGCGCCGTGGGCACGGTGCTGAGGCCGGCGTTGGGGCACAGCGCCGTCTTCTTGCCCGACGTCCACTTGCAGCGGCAGGCCTCGGGGCAGTCGGTCCAGTCAGGGGCCGCCGACCCGGCGAGGAGCAGCAGCAGCAGCAGCAACGGCACCACCACCGCCCTTGCGCCGCCCGCCACCACCCGCGACCCCCCGGCGCCCATCGCGCCTCATCCTGCCGGCAGGCGCATGGAGAGGGGCCTGCAAGAAGGAGAGACAGAGCATGAGACGCCTGCAAGAAGGAGAGACAGAGCATGAGACGAGACGCCTGCAGCCCGCCGTGCCGTCACCCCTCCTTGGGTTAAATTAAACCCCGAGACAGCTCATCCATACAACCGGCTTACTCAGTGCCGGGAAACGTTAAGGACCGTGTTGCGTTTTCACCTGGAAACTCCGAGCCCCTCAGCACAGATGCCCGCCGGACTCACTCGGACGTCGCAACCGAAATCCCCAAGTTCCTGAGCAAGACGCGGCGCTCCAAATGAGCTCGCCGTGGCGTGGCGTAGCGCCGCGAGGCAAGGCGCCGAGGCGCCGCGCTGCCAAGACACGGATGCACTTCCCACGTCGTAATTGCTGCAGCCTTTACGGCGGGGCGCGGGGCTGCGGGGGCTGCAGGGTGCACACGCAGACACCTCCATAAAGACGGAGAACTTGTGGAAAAACTTGCCCGGCGCGCAGCTGGAAACTCTGTCAGCGCGGCACCGCGCCGCACCGCGCACCGGCTCGGCCACCTCGCCAGCAACTGGGTCAGCCCGCCGCCCGCACCGACCCTACCCAACCCGTGTCTGAGGCCACCCGCGTGGACAAACACGATTATAGCGGTGCTGAAGGGGCGGTGAAAAGACCCGCAGCCGAAAGGCGCTCCGCCGGGCGGCACTTGGGCGTCAACCGCCACCGCCATCTGCTTGCCGCGCCGTGCCACGCCACGCCGAGCCACGCCAGGCCGGCGACCAGTCGGCTGACGGTCAGCCCCTGCGGAGCGGCGGGTAGGCCGGCCCGCAACGTACCCGCGCTCGGCGGGCTAGCCTAGCCGCCGCTCCGCAGGCGCGCTACCTTCGCCACGCCAGCCATAGTGCCGGCTAAGGCTATTCACGTACTGGGCACTCACGTGGTAGACGCCCGGGCCGAGGCCTTCAAGAACACCGCTTGGCTGACATGAAAGGCATCTCGGAAGGTTCCTTTCACGGTCCACAGGGGGTGGTCAGCAAGTACGTCGTTCGATCGCTTGACCCAGAGAGAGAGAGAGAGGGGGGGAGAAAGAGAGAGAGAGAGAGAGAGAGAGAGGGGGGGGGGGGCTCTCACACACATCCCCCACAACGCCACCCTTGCTTATCTACAGCCAGGCAGCGAGCCACTCGATGAGCTGGTTGACAGCCCGGTCTGTCCGTCCGCACGCGAAGCCACAAAATGGGAATGGATGGCCGCAAATTAGGAGGCCGGTGTAACCGGTATGTTATACCCCCCTGGAGCTTTTTACCCCCGGTACATCATACCTAGGCATGTTTTACCCCCCCGGTAAAATGTGCCTAGGCATGTTTTACCCCCCACCCCCGAGGGTAGGGGTACAATGTGCCTAGGCATGTTTTACCCCCCCGGTAATATGTGCCTAGGCACGTTTTACCCCCCCGGTAAAATGTGCCTAGGCATGTTTTACCCCCCACCCTCGAGGGTAGGGGGTACAATGTGCCTAGGCATGTTTTACCCCCCGGTAATATGTGCCTAGGCACGTTTTACCCCCCCGGTAAAATGTGCCTAGGCATGTTTTACCCCCCATTCTCGAGGGTAGGGGGTACAGTGTGCCTAGGCATGTTTTACCCCCCGGTAAAATGTGCGTAGGCACGTTTTACCTCGGTCGCTCCGCGTCTCTCGCAGTCTGGGCGCTCTTAGTGGGGGAAAGACAGAGCGACGACTCTCGGAATCCATCACCTGTTTGCCGCAGAGCTGATGTCAACGGGTTTAACAGTCATTTATTGGTCGGGTCAGCACTTAAGTTTCGTCTCGGCTGTGTCACACAGCTCGGTGACAAAGGGTGAGGGGTAAAACATGCCTAGGCACATTGTACCCCCTACCCTCGAGGGTGGGGGGTAAAACGTGCCTAGGCGCATTTTACCGGGGGGGGGGGGGGGGGGGGGGGAAAACATGCCTAGGCACATTTTACCGGCGGGTAAAACATGCCTAGGCACATTGTACCCCTACCCTTGAGGGTGGGGGGTAAAACATGCCTAGGCATGTTTTACCGGGGGGGTAAAACGTGCCTAGGCACATTTTACCGGGGGTAAAACATGCCTAGGCACATTGTACCCCCTACCCTCGAGGGTGGGGGTACAATGTGCCTAGGCACAATTTACCGGGGGGGTAAAACATGCCTAGGCACAGTGTACCGGGGGTAAGGGCAGCCGGGGGGTAAAACATCCCGTCGACACCGCCAAGGCCGTCCACGCCGCGCCCAAACTGTCCCCGAGAGTCCGCTCACGACTCAAGGGCTGGGAGGGCGCATGAATAAACAAGACTGCAATTCATCAAAGTGAGGCGGGCCGAGGCGGGGCGAGGCGGGCCGAGGCGGGGCGAGGCGGGACGCTGGTGGCGTAAACAGATGCTGCGCCCCGCCCCGCATCGCCCCACCCCGCAGGGCTGCAGGCAAGCGGTTTATGCATGGCGACGGGTCAGTGAGCCATGTGCCGCCTCGTCTCAATAAAAGGGCCGGGCACCCGGATGCCTGCAGAGGGGTGGGCGTGTGTCTGTGTGCGTGCCGGGGGTGGGGTGGGGTGGGGGTAGGCCGCTCCGGGAACGGACTCAGCGGGCGAGTAGCTATCCGTCTTGTGCGCTGTGCGGGCGCGGCGCGCGGCACGCTACAAGCTGCCCGCGCCTTCTTCCAAACAAGTCGGTGAGCAGAAGCAGAACCGAACCGAACGAACCGAACCGGGCGGGGTCCAACTTTGCGAATTAACGAAGCTGCGTCCAATTTTGGCGGCCCGGGCCGCGGCCCTGTCGGCCCTCGTCGGTCGCTGCGACACGTCACTCTGGCCGGCCCACAGTGGGCCAGAAGCCGGTGGAGGCGGCCAAAACTCTAGACGCGTTTTGAGCTCCAGAGTCGCTTAATGGGACTCGAACCGAACGTGTGACCCCACCAATGGATAGCTCTCCGAACGAGGAATCCATTGGTGGGGTCACACGTTCGGTTCGAGTCCCATTTAACGACTCTGGAGCTCAAAACGCGTCTAGAGTTTTGGCCGCCTCCACCGGCTTCTGGCCCACTGAGCGGCCTGCCCTACGCGTGACGCCGTGCACTGCAAGGAATGGGCCGCGCACGTCGCGTCGACACCGACGCCACCGAGAAGGTCACAACGATGCATCGATTTCGACGTTATCGTCCATCCTGGCCATTTTTGGCGGTGCGGCCGCGCCTCCTCCGCCGCGTGATGCCTGTGCCTGGCCACCGGCCCTGACACTGCCATAATCCTGGCGAGGCTCGCCGTGGTGCTGGCCTCCTGTTCGGGCGTCGTCACCCCGGCGTCCCTCGCCCCGACTCACCGCGCCTCAGTGCACACGCGGACGGACACACGGACCACGGACACGACGCAAACCAGCCCCGTTTGAAGTTCTGTGCGGGCAGAAAAGTCATCACCGCGCCACCGTTGCTGTAATTGCCTTTCGACGGATTCCGAGACTGTCGTTGCAATTCCCTTCTCGGATTCATGGGACGTCTGCACAACCTGCCTGAGGACCCCGCCACCAACCAGCCGGTTTAAACCGGAAATTCTGCCGTCTGCTCTGGAAGAGTCCTTCATACACCAACCATGCAAGAGTTTTAAAAGTTGAAAACTAATATGCTAAAAAAAAGCACGGACGAGTCGTTCTATTCCAGGGAAACATGATGACCCGGTCATGTTGCTATGTAATTTAAAAATACACGTTTCTTCTTTTTTTCCAGCCGACACGCTGAGTTTTTTTTTTCGCCCTAGCCTCAGGGAGTAGCCGCACTGGACTAGGTGGCCACCCCAGCAGGCCGGACGCACCGGACTGCCCGGCACTGGTCCACTGCGCGCAAGCCCCGTCGTCGTCCATCATAACATCTGTGCACACTGTAAAAAATCAGTGGTAAATTTGTCTTCCCATTCCGGAGTAAATTTCTCCTCGTGGTCAGGGTATACGCTTCCGCCGATACATGTATGGAGACAAAGTGTTTACGTGTCCATCCGGGAAATTTGCATTGCCATTGAATAAGTAAATTTACTCTGTGGATAGGTAAGTTCTTATTCACGTTCATGATAGTAAAATCACTCATTCCATTACGCTGTGAATATCTGCGTTTGGATGTGCGAAACATCTTCCTCGATCCAAGGGGGTAAATTTACGCACGCGTGGACGCGGTGAATATCTGCGTTTGGATGTGCGAAATATCTTTCTCGATCCAGGGGGGTAAATTTACGCTCGTGTGGACGCGGTGAATTTCTGCGTTTGGATGAGTGAAACATCTTCCTCGATCCAAGGGGGCACGCGCGGACCAGGTTGGATAGGCTGGCGGCGGGCCGGTCTAGTACCGCCCCACACGGAAAATAGACGTCTAAAAGACGTATATTAGACGTCTATTTGTAGATGGAGATGAGTCTAATAGAGGTCTTTTGACATCTACATGTAGATCATCTACACATAATCTAATGGTCGAATTTGCGACGTCTATTAGACGTCTATTACTTTTCCTCTAGTAGACGTCTGCAGATAGATTTAGAATCGACGGACTCAGAATAGCCCCTGCATACCAAGTAGAGCACAACGAAGGTATCAACGGTCAAAACGCGAGTTGGGTTCCCGCTTGGGAAGGTAGTAGTATCTAGATCGAATAGGGCAGTTCGTACCTGATGTGGGGATTTGGAGGGCCGAGCAAGGGGACGCTGCCGGTGCGGCACTACCAGCCCTTGCCACATCCAAAAATTGTAAGGTCCTCACGCCACAAGAGCGATTATATTAAGAGGACTCTTCAAAGGAGAGGAGAACGGCGTAGAGACTATAACAGAACTGGCTCACGGAGTCGTCACCGCGAGCGGGCAGACGTGCTTTGCGCGTGGCGCGCTCTCGTGGCAGTTAGGAGAAGCTTATCCGTCTAGTACCTTATCTAAAGAGTAGAAAGACATCTTTCTACTTTGATGACCAAGATCTCACCCACTACGCTATGGGCTGACCTAAGAAGTTGGGACGGAAAT